TCCCAGCATTAGGATGGGTGGGAAGCTGGCCTGCAAAGAATCACATTTTTTTACACCTAGTAAGGACTTAAAGACCATTTTTACGTGGAAGAAAACTCTTGGTTTGGAAGTCAGACGAGCTCCCTGAAGCACACAGCATGTCAGTGACAGAACAGAAACGGAAAGTCAGATCTTAAAACTCTAGGTTCTGTTAATTATCTTGATTGTGATAATTTCACAAGTATATACATATGTAAAATATCACCAACTGTACACCTTAAATTTGAGTCTTACTGTAGGTTAATTATACTTCAAAAACATTGCAAAAACAAAAGCACACAAATCCACTGCTACACCTTCCTATAGCAAGTCTTCAGTTCTATCTCATAGAGTTGTTGCAAGGAATAAGGTAGTTAACATATTTAAAGACTTAGAACAGTACTTGGTGTGGAGTAAAAACTACTGAAATGTAAACTGCATTATTATTATTAGATGTTAGAATTCTGCCCTACTGACCAGTTTGGAGAAAAGTAATGGAAAGAAGAGTAAACAGATTTGGAGTCAGAAACTCCAGATCATAGTTCTGGTTCTTGGAGAATCTCTGAGTCTCAATTCTTTGTAAAATGAGTTAGCTGGACAAGGTAATCTCTAAAGGGCCTTTCCAAACTAAAGATTTCAGACATGGGCTAGGATAAGAGTTGTAGGAATGGAAAAGAAGGATGGATATGAAACTCTTAGGGATGAACTGATAAGATTTAAGAACTGGCTAGATACGAAGAATGATGGAAAACAATGAGTCAACCGTGAACACAAAGTTTTAAGCTTTGGATAACTCAAGTTTAAATAGAAAGAGGAGCATGTTGTCCCAACAGACATATATTTACTATTTTAATAAATCAGTAGGTTCTCCATGGAAATGAATATTCATGACCTTCTGGATCAAAATGTCAACCAGCATATATTTAATATATTTAGCATATATTTAAAATGTATGCTAAAACCAAAATCTCTTCTCATGAGATTATTGAAAGCTATGTTAAAAAGAAATCCCTATGGATTCATATGGATAATTATAATTAGATAATTATACTTAGTACATTTAAAGACATCCATCCCAAAGTATCAAATTTATCTTTAAAAATCGATACATTCATCAGTCATCAAGAAACTAATCTCTTGACGAACTCTTTCTATGTGGAAACAATCTAAGCCTAGAGTCACAGAGCTGCCTGTAAATGTTACCGTGGAATCTCGGACAAAGCATTTTAGCCTGTTTTCTCTTAGACATAAGCTCATCTTCAAATACCTAAACCTCAATATTACATCTCATGCACTATACGGAACACGTTTTCAGTATCAGATCCCACAATAAATGATTGTGTGCCCTTAAGCAGCCTTCAGAGAATCACGGTTTCATCAGTATGACATCCAAAGAGGATCTCAGAGTGCGCTGAGGATCAGACTTTTCAAGATTCTAACTCACTCCTTTCAGAGATGTGATCAGTCCAGCAAAGTTATGCTGACATTCTGATGGGTTATATTCCACTACATTGTACTGATGCAACATTCCTGGACAAAAATATAAAGATCGCAGTTGCTTGTGTTTCATAGACTGAAGCAAAAAAAAAATCTTGCCAACTTTTTGATGATCCTTCAAGGGCAACATTTCAAATATAATATTCTTCTCTGGACACTGAACAATATTTCAGTTATAACTGACTGTTGGGTCAACATTTGGGTTAAATCCCAGAACATTTTTTTAAATAAAACTGTTTATGAAATGTTGCAGTTTAAGACTATGTGCACACTTAGACATAGCCAAAATGGACCAATTTACGAGAAGATAAAATAAAAAAATGTCGTTGATTAGCCTAGAACAGCAACATAAAAAATTCTTAGTTGCAAGGCAAAGCAAATGATATGCTAAAATATACTGCAGGAAAGAACTGAGACCACTTGGGGAATGAGTCACTTAGAGTCATATCTTCCAGATATCTTAGTTAACACTTTCTGTTGAGGACCTAATTTTACCTCTTAGAATTCTCTCTAAGAAGAGGATGGTTCCTATCATTCATATGGTTCCTACCTTTGAAAATGGTACATAAAAAAGGTATTTTTTTTCTTTTCTTAATAATTAAGGGTCATCATTAAGAATATTAGTCACTGAGATGTGGTAAAGATGTAGACATAAATGCAGATTTATATATATTATATGGGATAAAGGGAAGAGATGGAGCTTTCCCTCTGGCAACTGCATCAAACTTGATTTCCTTTACAAAAAGAGAAATAAAAACTCCTAGTGACACCTTGTTTTTTTGTTCATTTACCAATTTTCCATAAAAGTATAATGAAGCATACGAAACTGTATAATATGCTACACAGTATAATGTAATAACCTTTTACAAAATTAAATAGTGGGCTGAATCCTGATGCCATCTTCTTCCAAACGCTTTCACTATCCTCAGGAAAAATCAACTTTTTTCCCCATTAATATCAGTAAAGTTCAACTCATCTCTGACTTTCAAAACTTTACCAGTTTTGTGAGCCCCCACTCCTCTGTTTCCCTTGCACTAAGTTTGTTTATGGAACGTATCTCACTTCATTTTAAAAATATGAAATGGCATGAATGCGGGAAGACTTAGTCTATACAGTTTTCATTTTACTAAAAATAGAAAGAGGACAATGACGTCTGCTAAACTGGGCATCAGGTCTTAATTTTCTCCAAGTCCAACTGCATATTTCATTTGCAAGAGAACTCCACACTTAGGCAACACTATAAAGAGAAGATTCAAGATCCCATAGGGTATCTGGATAGGATCAATTTTCTCATAATTTCTATAACATTTCACTTTTTGAAAAACTTCTGTATAGAAGTAAACTCAGATAAAAACTGCTATCAAGATGGAAGACAAATAGAGGGAGTTCTGCAACTTCTCCCCTGAAAAGTGAATGTAGAAAAGGCTCAATAAATGTTAGCTATCACTATTCAACAAATATGCATTAAATATTTATTATTTTCTAGGCATTAAGCAGAAACAAGAAAAAAATCAGCCCTCAAGGGCTTCCCTGGTGGCGAAGTGGTTGAGAGTCTGCCTGCCGATGCAGGGGACACGGGTTCGTGCCCCGGTACGGGAAGATCCCATATGCCGTGGAGCAGCTGAGCCCGTGAGCCATGGCCACTGAGCCTGCGTGTCCGGAGCCTGTGCTCCACAACGGGAGAGGCCACAGCAGTGAGAGGCCCGCGTACCGCAAAAAGAAAAAAAAAAAAAAAAAAACTTATTATAAAAAAAATCAGCCCTCAAGTTGCTCACAACTTACAGAGAGTTGCTTACAGTCTTAACAAAAATATAGATGGTTCAGCAGCCTAAATTTGCTCATAAAAACCTTTTGTAATCCAAAAGCATTAAACCAAAGACTTTTACAGGAAAAAGAAATACTGTTTTTCAGTTCTGTTGCTTCATTGCATCATTGTACATGTAGTGAAATGTCATTGTATAGAAAAGTAAACTGCTTACATTTAATAAGACGATCTGCTAACATGTCAGGTTTAAATCTCATGGCAGAACAAATATTGTTTTATATATACAAAGTTTAAGCTCAGAATAACTTTTTTTACATGTACAAGTCTGATCTAACATACCCTTGCTTGTTCCACACTCTTACATAACATAAAATCCTGAACAAATATAAACTAAGTCCAGGTATATAAATAACAATTATACTGACTGAATAATATTTACCTGACATTCTCATTTTGAATCACATATAGATGTTCATTTTATCTAAGATTAGCATATGTGTATGTATTTCTGTCTTAGAACAAAATTGAGAAACTAGTTTCTAGCTTAGTAGTATGTGTTACCGCACAAACTAATGTCCTCTCTAGTGCATTGTGACATAGCCTGTTACTATACAGATGCACCTTTAAAGGAACCAGACTCCAGAAAGGTACAGCAGCATCTTGCAATTACACATGCCCACACCCACAAGAGCTGTCTCACGCCTTCACGAATGTGCCGCCTCAAACAGGAGCAGATCACTGCTTCTCCACGCAGAGTGACACTAACCACCACCCCCAACACACATGCGCACCCACATACATAATGACTTCATACTCTTGTGATGTGAGAGGAGTAAGGGCTCTGGAATCAGGCACACTTAATGTCAAATCCCTTCTCTGAAACTCAGAAGTTCATTTCTGAACACAAGTTTACTTGTGTTCTGTATTCCTTCACTACAAGAGAATTTGTTTTTGTTTGGCAACTTTTGTTAGGAATAATTGTTCCAAAATCCCAGGGAAATCAAGGGTCAAGGTACCCAAGATTTTCCCCCTTCCTCAAAATGTTTTCCTAAAAGACACATGAGGCATCTGCAACAAAGGCATTTACAGGGGTGTGTGGTTTATGATCATTTACTTAATTTTATATTTATATCTAGGCACATTTCTATAGGTACATTATGTACTACAATAAAAAACAATAAAACAAAATGCAAAAATGCCTCTCTATCCACTGTCATCCTCAGTAAAATGTATTTTCTACAAAATGTTTAAAAAAAAGAAAACCTGAATCCTTTCTTCATGTACTCAGTAGGATATAGGATAAATAATTTCCTGTTCTGCATGCAATTTGGTACAATTTACTCCAGTTCAAATTAGTTAAAGATTTTTTTAAATAAAGGGAGTTTACATTTGTTTCTAATGAGGTTTCTTACATTAAAGAACCGAGAAAATATTTAAATACCTTTAGGCAGTTTGTGATAAAATCATGGTGAGCTACATAGAATAAATCACTCTTTTTAAGTAGGTAATATAAATAATAGTGATTGCCTTTTTAAAAATTCAAAGACAAAAAAGAAATCCTATAATCTGACATCCTAATAATTTGTGATACTCCACATCCAGAAAGAATGGAACACAAAAAGTTACCATCTGCTGTCAAACAACAGACGAAAGAGGAATGTCTCAGCCAAGAAAACAGAATGGAGCTACACGTTCATAGCAAACAACATCTGCGACATACCTTGATCAATACAGTCTTCAGCAAGAGCAAAGAGCTGAGGTGAGCGTTCCTCAAGCAATTGCTGGTGAATATTCACACATCTCAAAGTCCACCATGGCAAGCTCTAGAAAAAGGAAACACCAACGTGTTTACGTTGAATTAAAAGGACCCTTAGGAAAAAAATTTCACATTAATTCAAATCAATTTTTAGAATATTTTTACATTTGTGAGATTAAATTTACCCTTCAATAAGCTGCTATGTCTTCAGTAATAATACCAAATCCACTGCCATGTCTTCCACGAGAATAACATCTCTCCTCCATTCTCTCAAAGCCTGTATTTGTAGCCAGTTGGGCTTCCTGATGTCATTTCGAACCTACCATTTCCTCCTTTAAAATGCCTACTGTAATCGTGCTGCTCTGCCGTGACACTCTACCAGCACCATAATCCAATACCAACAATCCTAGGAGGCCTCCCCCAAGAACCTCCTATGGGTGATTTTTTTCCCTCATCTCAACTTCCAGCACATTGTTTGCACCTCTCTTTGCAGACACACTCCACCGTATTCGTGTATGTCATCCTAGCTTTCAATGCTGTCTGCCATCTAGCCAACAAGATGAGGAATCATGTCTTACTCATCTCTGTATCCTCCTTGAAGCAACGTATGCTATGCAAACTACAAGGTAAGATATACCCTGGGTTCAGATATTCCCCAAACTGGGAAGATCTCTTCCACACCCTCTTCCATGAAGCCGTCTCCCACTAGTAGGGCACACACTGGTCTCTCACTTCTCTAAACTTCCACACTGTGCTTAGAAGTTAGCACCACACTGCAGAGCTCTTGTTTTTCAAGTGTGTAAATACCTGGTCCATATATTTTGGAGGGTAGAAACTGCATTTTATACATTGTCTTGACTAATGCACAGGCTGAGAACACAGTAGCTTTTTCTCAGTTCTCTGATGCTTACTCTTACTTTTCAACACATCCTTACTAAACAACAACAACAAACAACAACAAGCCAATACAGAAGCATACGCAGTGAAGATGAAAGTCTCTCTTCTGCTGCCTCAGCGTCATTCTCCTCCCCCAGAAAAATCCATGACAGAGGTTTATATTCTTCTAGATCTTCTGCTATGCGTGTGTGTGTGTGAGTGTGTGTGTGTGTGTGTGTGTGTGTGTGCGTGCGCGCACATGCAAGTAGTAAGTATTAAATATTTTTGATAGGCTCACTAAATTACCAAGTGTGATCATGCACTGAATCATCTAACGTAATTACAACTATGTTACTCTAAATTATATTGCACAAAGGAGTGAAAAATTAGTTTTCCTTTTTTTTAAAGCAATACCTACTAATAGGAGATCAAGCTTAATTACCAAAAGCATTTTCTTTTTTACTTGAACTTAATTTCTTCATTTGATTAAGGGGTAAAACTGCTTGCTCCCCTTCTAAACTACACACAAGTGCTACAACAATCAAAAAATCACAAATGAATTTTGACCCTCTGACAAAATCTTTTCTAATTATTAACGCTGTTCCCTCAGTCCATCTAAGGAGAGGAAAGGTAGAATTATCTAATAAAGTTTCACATCATTTTTAATTTAATTCCCTGAGGTGCTGTCTCATTTTCATTCTTTTCCTATCACTAGGCTGATGAAGTCAGTCTATATTTCAATAATCTGTCCCTTATCTGCTGTCAGCAATAAGTGAGTCAGGTCTGGCAGCAGTCTTTCCTTTTCTAGACATGGAATTTAGATAGATCCGGTCAAAGAGACTGCCCTTTTAAGAAAACATACAACATAAGATGCTCAACTCTTAAAATCAGATCTATAAACTAACTCTTAACCCAAAATCTTCAGATGGGAGAAGGGGGAGTGTGAAACAGAGAAAGAAAGCATAGCCTATTTTTCTACTAGAAAATATAAGTGCCTTTTTCTATCTGTCAGGAATCACTTAATAGACAATTTGAGGCATTAATAAAAAAGAAAACTAGAAGCCTTGCTTTAGATAGTTCCTAGATCCTGTCTCCTATTATCGCACTTATTACAGAATATTCTGATTGACAAGTCACACTAGTCAATAACCTCCTAGAAGGCAGGGAGCATGAGTGTACTCAAAAGAAACCCAATAAATGTTTGCCAACTTAGTCCATTTTATAAATAAGAAAACTGATATTCAGAGAAATTCACTGGCCTAAGGCCACACAGTTGTTAAGTGGCTGGACCAGACAAACTCTGGTCTTATTCCAAAGCCAAAATTCTTTTTACTCAACATTCACATATTACTAACACTAGTCTATCCACTTCACAGACTAGGGGGTGGGGGAAAATCATCTTCTTTTATAGTTCCACAAAAATAAAATCATAATAAACAACCTGATATGTTCCTTAAGATCCAGCCATTTCAAAATTAATTTAAAAGGTTAAGATTAACTTGGATAAGCATGTCATGCTTCTTTATCATTCTATCTTCATTTCTCAAAGAAATCATTTTTAACATCATCGTTTACAGAATAATATATCAAAGACCCAAAGGAAAGAAAATTATAACATTTCAACTGAAAGGCAAGGTTTCAGCACAGAATGATCTTTGCATGGAGATGTACAAGAAAATAGGGTTTTGAAACAGAAGTCAAAAGCTGTTTAGCATCTGCCAAGAAACTCAGGTAACTTATGTCTCCAATCCTACAACATCTGCAACCAGCAGTTCACATATTTACTTGTTCTCCTAAGCTGTTGATACTATATGTATCTTTTTACAAATGATGCTTAAAGAAGGTACTTGCTGATGAAAGTTTTCCACCATGAAAACTGTATCACTAACTCATTGACCATTAGTCTCACTAGAAAGAAAATAATGCCATTTAGCAACCTCATGCTTTGATGATACTTCCTTTAGGGCCAAGTACTAGTCAGTCTATAAGATCATTTAACTCAGATCAACTTGGGAAAACATTTTTTTATTCAAGCTAACATCACTAAACAAAATAATCAAAGATAAGGTCTTATATCTGCTAGGATATGTTGAAACCCATCTATTAAAAACACTTCTCTTGGGCTTCCCTAGTGGCGCAGTGGTTGAGAGTCTGCCTGTCAATGGAGGGGACACGGGTTTGTGCCCTGGTCTGGGAAGATCCCACATGCCGTGGAGCGGCTGGGCCCGTGAGCCATGGCCACTGAGCCTGTGCTCCGCAACGGGAGAGGCCGCAACAGTGAGAGGCCCGCATACAGCAAAAAAAAAAAAAAAACCCTTCTGGTACAACTGATTCCAAATCATCTGTCCTCATGAGAGCTGCTGAAAGAGGCATGATTCCCTTCTTACCTCCTCTTTGTCACAACTTAAATGCTTAGGAAAGTAAGCCCTTCTACAGTACAGACCAAGTCCACATTTTGCCCATAGAAATACTGTGTTTCTTAAACTTTTTCAGCCAACACTTGGAAATTGGGAGATCTCACATAAAATTTAGATTTACTATTTCTGGAAATACAAGGTCTGTATGCCCAAGTTGCAACAATCAGGACAGGAGTCAGGAAGCTACAGCCTATGGACCCAAACCAGCCCACCACCTGTTTTCCTATAGCCTAAAACCAAGACTTGTTCTTACATTTTTAAATCATTGCAAAAAAAAAAGAAAGAAAGAAAGAGAGAAAAATAATATTTTGTGACATGCGAAAAGCATATGAAATATAAATTTCAGTGTCCATAAATAAAGCTCTATTGGTACACAGTCACACCCATTCACATACATATCATCTACAGCTGCTTTCACACTACAAGGCAGATTGAATAGTTAGGTGCACAGAGTTGAGCAGTTGTGACGGAGCCTGCACACTGCACAGCTGACAACCTCCACTACACCTCAAGGACTTTCTTCGAATCTCTCATGTGGTTTTTGTCACCTCCTACTGCGTAATAGCTATCTGTATCAGTGCTTTTCTCACTAATTTATATGTGACCTAAAGAAACCATATAACAGGCATTCAACAAATGCTCTACTAAATCCAACCCAAATATGAAACAAGGTAGGATGTGAGCCAAGAAACAGTAATCAAGAAACAGCTGCCCTGGTGGCACAATGGTTAAGAATCCACCTGCCAATGCACGGGACACGGGTTCGAGCCCTGGTCTGGGAAGATCCCACATGCCGTGGAGCAACTAAGCCCATGTGCCACAACTACTGAGCCTGTGCTCTAGAGCTGCGAGCCACAACTACTGAGCCCGCGTGCCACAACTGCTGAAGGCCACACACCTAGAGTGCGTGCTCTGCAACAAGAGAAGCCACCGCAATAAGAAGCCTGCTTGCCGCAACTAGAGAAAGCCCGTGTGCAAGCAACAAAGACCCAACGGAGCCAAAAATAAGTAAATAAAATAAATAAATTTATTAAAAAAAAATTTCTAGGAGCTTTAATAAAAAACAGTAAAAAGTGAAATCAATTTTTAAAAGAAAGATCTACTGAAAGTGCTATACTTCTGGCTACTCATTATCCTTACATGAAATTCACAAAAAACTATGAAGGGTGTTTTTAAACCTATTTTTAAGATTCAGAGAATGAACATTTATACACATGCAAATATACACACAACACATATACACAACCCCATTTAAGAGGCTCAACATCTCATTTTATACTAGACGAATCTCATGACAGGAGACAGTTTTTGCTTATTTTCATCAGATTTTAAAATTAAACACCTAAAGAAGACTTAGAAAACAAATATACCAAGACATTTTCAGCATCACACCTAAAGTTTTATGCTAATCGGCACAAAAGTCACACCTGGGTCTGAACCTCCTGGCTCCTTTTCTTCCCTTACCTGAATAGCTGTCAGCCTATGTCTTACATTCACTAGGGAAATTCGTGCTAATAATAGCAGTATAGGCTTCAAGGTCAGGTTGTAGATTGATTCACCATCTAGAATGAGCAAACTCAGAACGAGTGCATCCAGTCCTTTGACCTGAAAAAAAAAAATTTAAGATGATATAATTTAGCAACATATTAATCGTTATATATCTTACAAGAATACATATTTTCCAGGTAATCAGCTGTGAAACACAGGTACTGATCTATTACACAGCAGTTGGCACTGGACGGAGTCCTAACATTACAACTCCAGCCTGCCCTGACAGACAGCTGCCTGCTTGTACTTTAGAGAACAGGGCAATCAAGAAAATGCTACTATTTTTTTTTTAATTTGCTTTTCCCAAGTTGCACCCTTTGTTCCAAAATAAATTTATTTATTTATTTTTTTTTTTTTTTTTGGTTGCACTGGGTCTTCACTGCTGCGCATGGGCTTTCTCTCGTTGTGGCAAGCAGGGGCTACTCTTCATTGCGGTGCACAGGTGCCTTCTCTTGTTGCAGAGCACAGGCTCTAGGCGTGCGGGCTTCAGTAGTTGTGGCACACGGGCTCTAGAGTGCAGGCTCAGTAGTTGTGGCACTTGGGCTTAGTTGTTCCGTGGCATGTGGGATCTTCCGGGACCAGGGCTCAAGCCCATGTCCCCTGCATTGGCAGGCAGATTCTTAACCACTGCACCACCAGGGAAGCCCAAGAAAATGCTACTATTGAAGAAGCGTCATAACTTTACAGATTTACTTACAACAAAATAGCTTCTCAATAAAAACCATCCCTATGTGAAAGTATTCATATTAAACACCTACATTTCATATATGCTTCACCAGCTGGCTAATGTCATTACAAACCATTGCTGCTCCATAATTACTATAAAGCCAAAAAACAACAAGGTCTTACATATCAAATGCTGAGTAGGCATACAATCATGGACCAATGTGAACTGAGGCTGCCCAAAAGGGATGCCTCTGAAAAATCTACTTCTTACTGAACAGAGATTTTCTACAACAGACCAAGCACCTGTGTTTTAAAAATGTGGACTGAATCATTTTGACAGTCACCACAAAATCGATAGTAGGAATGCTCAATGTTAGGAACATGGGCTGTAAGTCACAGACACAGGATAGGGTCCTTTTTCTGATTATTAATTTGTGGGCGTAGGTAATTTTTTTTTTAACTGAAGCCTCTGTTTCATCAGTTATAAAATAAAATAATAGAACCTAAACCTCACAGGGTTCTTGTAAGGATTAAACAATCCAAGTGATCAGTGTCTGGCTCAATGCTTTGTTGAAACATTCAATAAAGGTAAGAAAGTAATAGCTGTGGGTTCATCCTCTGTCTAACTTTCATCATTACTGAAAAGTGTACTAGAGGAATAAAGACAACGTGAATGACCACCACCAAACCACAAATAAAGCTTACTGTTACCTACACTGAGGGTAGAAGGAATTTTTTTTTTAAGTTCAATAATCAAGGAACTATTTAAGTACTGTAACTGCCTCAACTTCAGAAGAAAACAGACACAAAAAAGTTAAGTGCAGTCCAAAATCACACAGAAGTTATCAGCATTTGAACAGACATTACAGCCCAAGTTTTCCAACTCCCAAACCAGTGTTCTTCCTACCACCTTATGCTGCCTTCCCCTCGGACCTCTCTACCTCTTCCTGCCCCTCAGCAAGCTCCTGGGCTATGCTAAGCATGAGGAAGTCCTCAAGGACAGGGCCAGGATCACTTCTAGACTTCTGACTAGGACAACTGCATGATGGCAGTGTGGGTCACTGAGACACAGACACCAGAAGAAGACCTGGTTTGGAGAAGAACCTCACCATGAGTTCAGTCTTGGACACAATGAGTCTGAGGTACCTTGTGAGACCTCCAAGTGGAGGTACCGAATACACAAGTGAATCTACTGCTTAAGAACTAGAGAGAAGGGCTTCCCTGGGGGTACAGTGGTTAAGAATCCGCCTGCCAGTGCAGAGGACACGGGTTCAAGCCCTGGTCCAGGAAGATCCCACATGCCGCACAGCAACTAAGCCCGTGCGCCACAACTACTGAGCCTGCGCTCTAGACCCCGTGAGCCAGAACTACTGAGCCTGCATGCTGCAACTACTGAAGCCCGCGCACCTAGAGCCCATGCTCCGCAACAGGAGAAGCCACCGCAATGAGAAGCCCGCACACCACAACAAAGAGCAGCCCCTGCTCACTGCAACTAGAGAAAGCCCACGCACAGCAACAAAGACCCAACACAGCCCAAAAATAAAATAATAAATAAATAAATTTTTTAAAAAAAGAACTAGAAAGAAGACCCTGCCTAATGTGCCCAAGTTGGACCTGCAGCCTCATCAAATCATCTTGCCATTTAGATGGATTGAACAATCTTTATTTCCTAACATCCAAACCAAGCTGGTGAAGTATAAGACATGCCTTTAAGGAAAAGAATCCTTATTCTAATCACATTGAGATGAGAAAGATGTCTACCTGTTGTAGCACAAATTTAGATCATTTTCTTCTAAACGAAATCTTTAAAGATAACAAACAAGTAATTTAACAGGGCAACAAATAAAAAATTACACAAAGAGATACTCCATGATATACTACTTGGATCTCATTACCTCTGATACTCAACGGTTTAGTTGGTTACCAAACCTCCTACTCTAAGTCCTCTGGAAATGTCATTAATTGGGTAAATAATAAATAAACAAAGGAGTGAATGCATGAATAAACAAATAAATAAACTTCTTTTCCTAGAGTTACCTTGCATCACCATCATTAAAAAATTAAATGCTTTCCTATCTTCCTGTGACATAACACTGATATTCCAACCGAATTCTAAATGTGCTTCCAGAGGTTTTGGGAAATGGCCGAGTTTTAAAGAGGATTGTGGGACTTCCCTGGTGGCACAGTGGTTAAGAATCCGCCTGCCAATTCAGGGGACACGGGTTCAGGCCCTGGTGCAGGAAGATCCTACATGCTGTGGAGCAACTAAGCCCGTGAGCCACAACTACTGAGCCTGCATTCTAGAGCCCATGAGCCACAACTACTGAGCCCGCGTGCCACAACTACTGAAGCCCACGCGCCTAGAGCCCGTGCTCCACAACAAACCACTGCAACAAGAAGCCCACACACCACAACAAAGAGTAGCCCCCGCTCACTGCAACTAGAGAAAGCCCGTGTGCAGCAGTGGAGACCCAACGCAGCCAAAAATAAATTTTAAAAAAATTAATCAAAGACAAAAAACAAAACCAAAAAAACTGGTATGTACATACAATGGAATATCATTCAGTCTTAAAAGTAAGAAAATTCTGACATGATACAACATGGATAAATCTTGAGGATGAACAATACATACTACTATATGTAAAGCAGATAATCAATAAGGATGAGTGTATAGCACTGGGAACTCTACTCAGCACTCTGTAATAACCTATAAAAGAATCCAAAAATAAATAAATAAAGAGAATTGTTTATATTCTCAATTAAAACAGACAAAATGAAGGTTACAATTCCCTTAGGAACGACTCCTCAGTCAAGAGAGCATATGACATACAAAAATACTTATTTATCAGAATAGTGAAAAAAAGTCAACATCTGAGATAAACTTAATATAAAACTAGATTACTAGGAGATCAACTTTTATGTGTGAGAGGTGACCTACTCAGAAATGAACCTTCACTGCTATTCCCCTGAGGCTGGCTAGCACCAGAGGTCAAAAAACAGTGCTAAAAATGCCAAGGCCGTAATTTAGAGGCAGGGAAAATTAATTTGGCTTTGATGACTATACTCCATGACCATAAAGTATATTCACAAATATTTGTCCTTCACAAGAACGATGAAACATAAATCAGCACAGGAAAATGACAACTAGAAAATACTGATGTGCCACTCCCCAGTTTAAAAACTTCAACTCCCTTTATCTTCCAAATTCTCAGATTGCTGGTATAGAGTATAAATTGAATAATCCTCTCAAAAACAACATGACATGACCAAGAAGAGCCGAACATGCATATACCCTAGGGCACAGCAACTCCACTCACAGATATATGTCCTCAGCAGAGCTTCCCAACTCAGTGCTGGGAAGCATTTCCACGTGTGGCAAAATATCAATCCCCTCAGCCCTCAGCGGTTGCCCGACTACAGCCTGAGGGCCAGTAAAAACAGCCTCTTCCATCTAGCACACTGCACCAAACACTATCCCTTTTTTTTTAAGCATATGCTGTGCTTGGAAATTCTTGCAAATGATTCCCAGAAGACGTGTTCCTAATAGCACTGTACATAATATATTGCAAAAAATGGAAACATCCCATGTGGCCACTGAGAGTAGAACAGATATATAAACTGTGGTATATTCATACAACTGGAATACTATGCAATAGTAAAAATGAATAATAGTATAATTTCAGAAATACACCACTGAGCAAAGCAAGTCACAGAACACACACAATCTGTTTCATTTATATAAAGTTCAAAAACTGGCAAAACTAAACAATCTGTCCTCTGGGGATACATACATACATAGGTGCTAAAATCATGAAGAAAAGCAATGGAGGACTTCCCTAGTGGTGCAGTGGTTGAGAGTCCACCTGCTAATGCAGGGGACACGGGTTCAAGCCCTGGTCTGGGAAGATCCCACATGCTGCGGAGCAACTAAGCCCGTGTGCCACAACTACTGAGCCTGCGCTCTAGAGCCCGTGAGCCACAACTACTGAAGCCCGCGCGCCTAGAGCCCGTGCTCTGCAACAAGAGAAGCCACCGCAATGAGAAGCCCGTGCACTGCAACGAAGAGTACCCCCGCTCTCCGCAACTAGAGAAAGCACTCCTGGAGCAGTGAAGACCCAACGCAGCCAAATAAATAAATAAAATTAAAAAAAAAAAAAAGCAATGGAATGTTAACACAAAATTCATGAGAGTGGTTCATGAGAAAGGGGGCCAGGGATACCACCAGGAAGCACACACAGGGGACCTTGTAACCCTGTATTTCCCAACCTTTTCCAAGTCAGAGCAAATGCATAAGATGCTATTATTTGTAGTGCACATCAGGTAACTAGAGAAGGCTACTACACCAGACGAGACCAGTTCAAAAGCTCTCCCCAGCCCCGGCCCCACAGAGCTACTGCAATGGCAAAGGGACTCAAAACCTGGGGAACAGCAGTCGGGAAGCTCTGTTCTACAATCCTGGTGATGTTCTCTCTCTCAAGCCGGGTGGTGGGAACAAAGGAGTTTTGTTATTTAAACTGTACACATTCTGTATGCTTTTTGGAATGTATGAGGCACTCTTTTTTTTAAGATTTTTTTTTTTAATGTGGACCATTTTTAAAGTCATTATTGAATTTGTTACAATATTGCTTCTGTTTTTTGATTTTGGTATTTTGGCCACGAGGCATGTGGGATCTTAGCTCCCAGAGCAGGGATTGAACCCACACCCCCTGCATTAGAAGGCAAAGTCTTAACCACTGGACTGCCAGGGAAGTCCCATATGAGGCACTTCTAATAAAAAAATTAAAATCAAGGTCTTATTTAAAGTTTCCTATGATTTGGTCTGAGCCCCATCAAGGCTGACCTTTTACTGCTGCTCCAACAGGCTCAAAGCATCCGTTTCCCACAAACACCGCACTCTTCTCCCCTCTAAATTTCTGCTCATGTGACTGCACCTAGAACGTATTTCTTTCTCTTCTCTACCTGTCCATTTCCTCATCATCTTTCAGGTTCTAACTCAAGGTCCACTCTTGACGAAAAGGTCTTCTCAGACAAAATTCACTTTCCACACGTCTTCATTAATTTCAGTATTTCTTTTTTTTTTTTTTTTGATGTTGGGGGTAGGAGTTTATTAATTTATTTTATTTATTTTTGCTGTGTTGGGTCTTCGTTTCTGTGCAAGGGCTTTCTCTAGTTGTGGCAAGCGGGGGCCACTCTTCATCGTGGTGTGCAGGCCTCTCACTATTGCAGCCTCTCTTGTGGCAGAGCACAGGCTCCAGACACGCAGACTCAGTAGTTGTGGCTCATGGGCCTAGTTGCTCTGCGGCATGTGGGATCCTCCCAGACCAGGGCTCGAACCCGTGTCCCCTGCATTAGCAGGCAGATTCTCAACCACTGCACCACCAGGGAAGCCCTAATTTCAGCATTTCTTATAGGTTGAACCTCTCATGTAACCCATTTCTGTACTGTTTGGATTGTTACCTAACTTTACAGGTGCTTCTACTTTAGTATAGCAGAAAGAGTACTGAATTCGGACCCAGAAAATGTGTGTTCCAATCCCCCAGCTATAAGGCCTCTGACAAGTTTCTTTCACCACTGGGAGCATCAGTCTTCTCATCTAGAGAATACGTCAAATTGATATAGCATACATGAATGAAGCACCACTCCAACCAACATTAGCGCTCGGTACGTATTTACGACTTTGTCTGGTGGGTTTCTAACCTGCACTATAGGGCAATAGAGGCCAGAAACTGTCTTATACACAGTAAGAGAGGGAATGAGACATTCCTTACAAGTAATTTCCTAGATAATTGAAGCACATCTCTTTAAGTGCCAAAATCTTGGGGATTTTATTTTAACCATTTTGGATGAAAACTTTTGTAAAGTATAGATTAAATTCCCTTCTTAGACATAAGATATGGAAGAGCTTTTAACCTTTCAATTACGGTTTAGGGCCAGCATTATGAATCTCAATTACTCTATTGCAATATAACATAATGACTCAGTAAACTGATGTGTACAGAGGCTTCAGATTATGACTGCTTTTGTATTTCTCTTTCCAACCACCATCAAATTATTAACACTAATCTCTAACAACTCCATTCCCCTTTCATTTGTTACTTCTAATTCTGAGAAACCAGGTAACAGTAAATAGGTCCCTTTTGCTGTGCAAGTTTTGGATGCTAAGCACAGCCTTCCAGGCTGAGTGGTCGATAGTAATGCTCTAGTTCTGAGGTGGCTGGATAAATCAGTTACCATACTTCTTTTCAGAGCATGTCATATCCCCCAAGCCCTGCATATATGTGCTCAAACAGTACTGAGGAATTCAAACTGCAAGCTCTACTGATGACCTACTGATGCAGGTCAATAATATTATCTCCATATATGGATAAGAAGAATCATTATCACCATGGAGCACCTCTGTGCCAGACACTGTAAGTATATACAAATAAGTATATCTGTGACATAAAGGAAATCACCCCTGGGAACTGTTAGTAAGGACAGCAGCAAAAGTTTCCTGCAACAAAATTAAACAGATCTCCACATTCTCTGCTTTGCCAGAAAAGATCTTTATGTAACTGTGGTAACACATGCAGCTGGGTGACTGGCGCAGCTGCCTGCACTTTAATAAAAAGAGCAGCTAACAGAGCTCCATAAAATGGGGAGCATCTGAAGAGGAGTTTGAGTCTGATAATGGAACTTCTGGAATTGAAAATCTGATCAATGAACAAGCATTCTTAGTAGGTTCTGTACAAGCAATAAAGTCATGTTTCCCTCCTACCTATTATTAACTCCAGTTTATAAAGAGCCGTTCCTAAAGAATAAAGAACACAATAATACCTATATATGACATTTCCAAGAAGCGTACCTCACTAAACTGCTGGAACAAAACAGACGGCAAAAAATCCTGAGGGTGTAAATCAACAAGAGGCCCCGTCCAGTTACTCTGAACAAAAAGTTGCAAACTGCTCACACCAAGTAGGAATATCAGCTGTTGTCTGCATATGAGAATAAAGAAATAAACATGAGCCACTATCACTGTACAACCACAAACACACTATTTCATTTCAGCTTTATTAAGAAAAATGTAAGATAGCAACATTTATGGAGATTATCTGAGAGTATTACAAAAAAAAATTTCTGAAACAATTTATATCTGCAATGTCCAACATTATCACCATGAGCCACATACGGCTGCTTTAAATTTAAATTAATTACAAGTAAATAAAATTTAAAATTCAGTTTCACTGTCCACATTTCAAGTGCTCAATGGCCAAACGTGGCTACTGGCTACCGTACTGTACGGCGCAGATACAGAACATCTCCATCATCACAGGAAGTTCTCCTGAACAGCACTGGTTTAGGACCCTATCAGGCACTTAGAATTTTGCCTTGTGTTCTATTTAACAGCTCTGACACTGGATGGAAAACTGATTTTATACAAAAGAAAGCTGACAACAAAAAGTTGTTTTCAAATATTTTACTGATCCTGTACTACCAACTATTAGAACAACAACAAAAAAAAAAAACCTAGAAATTTCACTTGAACCCATTCCTTTTCAATCCTACTTTGGCTGAAGACAGGAGTGGGTAGGTAAACCTATACTGCAAAGGAGAGATTTAAAAAAAAAAACCTTAAGCTTTGTGGGTCACACGTGTTTCTTTTTTTCCAACCCTTTAAAAACGTAAACATCATTCTTAGGCACTTTGGACTTGCTCCACCAGCAGTAATTTGCCAACCCCTAGATTAAGACACAAATAGGTGGGGATTCAACTCTAACGAACAGCAGCCAGAGAATCCTGTAGCTTCACACTGAAGGAAAAATAAAAGCAGTCACCCTCTTCTTCCCATATCCCCTAGGCCCTACCTCAAAAGGAAGATTCTTTAAGGAAAAAAAAAAAATCAAGCCTACAAGCCTGTGGTAGCTGGAGTGCTCTGGATGTAGCACAACTGACAGCAAAGAATGAGCAGAAAACAGGTGACAAAAGAGGCTGTTTGTAATTAGAAGTCAGGAAACTTGAGGAAACAGGTGTGCAGCAAGATCTCAAAGCCTTAATATAACTGTCATAACTAAAAATCAAAATCCTTAAGGGGAATTGAGAATAGAGTTTAATTTCCAAATACCTCATAATGAGGTAACTGAAATGTCTCTTCTCAGCTCTGTGTGACAAGCCGAATTCTGGTCTACCAGTGTATGATGTATTTGTGTGTATGTGTGTTTTCATGTGCACCACACAAAGCTAATGGCTATGATACCACACACACATCTGACAGCAAAATAATAATCAGGAACGACATCAGAGGAATGTAAACTACTAGTAAACCAGAAAAATAAAAATGAATGACACTAATTTTTTAAATAAAATGCCTATAGTAGCACTCTTCTGTGAACTCCTTATAGATATAGATTATGTTTTATTCATCTTCACAACCTCAACACCTAGCCAGGAGTTGATTTGTTGAAGAACTAAATGAAGCCATTCCCTAGAAATAATGGTAAAACAAAACTGTGTTTTAAAGACAACTAAAGCTTGATGTGGTTGCCAGAGATGCTAGAGAAAAGGATGGTATATTAACAAACTAACAACAGTAAAATATAAGCCACTGAAAAACTTAGGTTACACTGCTGTGTAACTATCCATTATATTTAATCCTATAAAATTACATAAACGTCAATGGAAGAAGATAAACCAAGGGTTCCATGCTAAAAACATTAAAGATAACCTAAAACATAATAAAAGTAGTTATAATTATCACTCAGCAATCTACAAACAGCAAGATGGAGAGTGTACATTTTCAAGTTAAAAGAAAAGAAGATCTGAAGTCTTGTCTATGGCTAAAAGCTATAAGACTTAAGCATTTAGAAACTCAGTGGGTTAGCAGCTACCACCCAGTCATAAGTCAGTGTTATATATGAAACCTGTATATCCTACACGACTTTACCTTTTCATTCTCAATGGTCCTCTGGACAGAAACTCTTACATAGATTATTTGGTACATCATGAGTCCTGAGTAAACATAAAGCCAGGTTTTTCAACAACTGCAAAAATCAGTGCCTTACACTGTCAAGGCAATATTAAATGTATTCATAATCTGTTTCCCTACGAAAATTTCAAATAAAATTCTACCTTCTGGTTTTGTCCAAATCTGTTGAGTAATCCAGGAATGTTACTATCTGCTTCTCTAGGTAGCTGTCAATCTTTTCTTCAGTCATCGTTGCTGAATTTAAAATACTTTGAGTCAATGAATTTAAGAATATGGCCTCATAGTTCCCTTCTAGCAGCAATTGTAGGAAAGATCCACTCTCTGTAATAGAAAAAAATTAGTCCAATAATCCAAAGAACAACTACTTTCATACCATAAAAGGTAACTATTATCATTTCAGCATGCCAAAAAAAAAATGTATATACTTAGAATGCTTCCTATACATTAACCACAAAGTACTGAGCAAATGCCCATCACTTCTCCTAGAATTAGAAGCTCATTCATACCATGAGCAGCATGTCAGAAGTTAAACCCAGAAATAATATTCCTTATTAGCAAGTAACATCAAAAGGAATTCTGCTGGGAATTCAAAAGAATTCCTACTGACAACAGAAAAGTTTCCTTACAAAGTTTCCTTTCACGATCTGGCTCCTCCTACCCCCACTGTCCTCCCTGATGAAAAGCTGGTTCCCTCATTGTTCCCTTAATATCCATATGCACATTCTGCCTCCACACTTTTACACTTGTGACTCCTCCTGGGGAACTTTTCCACTTGTCAGTCTCACTCTTTAAACAAAAATCAGGTCAAGTTTGACTTGTTCCATGAGACTTCCAGACCCAAACTTCAGAAACTACCTCTCTCCTGAAGCACCTATTGCGTATACACACAAACACGGGTCCGCGCACACATACATACACACACAAATATATAGGACAGGACATATACTGTCCTACATTGTTATTTCTCTTTTGGGTCCAGCCTAAATCCCACAACCAGATGTGCCTATATCCCCCTAGTATATGTGCCTTTTAACTCTTTCTCTCTCCGGTAAATGTGCTTCGCTTACAAGATTACATCTTTGCTGCCTCATTTCAGCTGTTGTGCTTACCAGCTGTGTGACCTTGAATAAATTACTTAATCTGTACTTAAATGCCTCCATCTGCAAAACGGGAATAAAAGTAGTGTCTACCTTACAGGTCTATTCTAAGCATTAAATGACTGAAGAAATGTTAAGGGATTAGAAAAACAATTGACATTATTATTGAACCCGGACGGTGAGAAGTTTGGGGTAAAGACATGCACGGAGCCTTTGGACCGCGCCCACTATGTCAAGGATGCAGCAACCCAAAGCATTAAGAATCAGATAGATTTGGGTAGGAAAAAAATAAAACCAGAAGGGATGAGAACCCAGCCGCCGCCACCCCTTCTCCCCACAGTCCTCACGCTGGCCTCAGTCCCTCTTTGGCAGGTGCACCCCTCTCACCCGAACCGGCGACTCCCTCTTGCTTCCACTGCTGCAGCTCAGCCTCAGTGGGGAAGCCCCTCAGTAGGGCCAGCTCCGGGGTCCACATCACCTCAGATATCGGTGCAACCAAAACAGAGTCCTACGAGGGTCACACAGGAGTCAACAAAAGAAAGTGAAAGGAAGAGGGTCCAAAGACGTCGAAGAGTAGTGGCGACAGTTCCTGTAAGCACATCCACAGCCCTAGAACCCCATGTGCGGACACCGGCACAAGGAGGCGACCATAACGGTAGCGCGGAGAACCCTGGGAAGAACACACAAACTCTCAGGGACCCGCTTCCGCCTAGGAGGCCAACCCGAGTCCTTGGTACTGAGCATGCCCAGTAGGAATGCCCCACCCCGAGCAGGGGAATGGGCGGTGTTTGGAGGGCGCGGCCGACCTCAGCCCTGCCCCCAGGGGTGCTGCCGAAGGAGTGGAGGGCGTGGAGTCATCTTGTACCGCCCACCGAGGAGGCAGGTTGAAATGCAGTTCAAAGTCGCGATTTTGCCTAGCTGCGGTTTACTTGGAAGGTCTAAGCCTTTGATTCCTAAACCTGTTTGGGTCAGAACCCTCCAGACTACCTGATGAAAGCCATAGTCCTTCCCGCAAAAGCACGTGGACCCTTACCACCAACACTGGGGTACCATTTCAGGGAGTTAAAGTCCCTCTGAAGTGGAGTCTGTGAACCCCAGGTTAACAACCCCGTCAGCTGGGCTTCCCTGGCGCCACAGTGGTTAAGAATCCGCCTGCCAATGCAGGGGACACGGGTTTGAGCCCTGGTCCGGAAAGATCCTACATGCCGCGGAGCAACGAAGCCCGCGCGCCACAATTACTGAGCTCTAGAGCCCGCGAGCCACAACTACTGAGCCCACGTGCCAGACTACTGAAGCCTTTGCGCCTGGAGCCCGAGCTCTGCAACAAGAGAAGCAACCGCAGTGAGAAGCCTGCACACCACAACAAAGAGTAGCCCCCGCTCACCACAACTAGAGAAATCCTGCGTGCAGCAACGAAGACCCAACGCAGCAAAAAATAAATAAATAAAAATTAAAATTAAAAAATACTGGGAAAAAAAAAGAACCCTGTCAGCAGAGGTCTTTATTCTTGAATGTATTCAAGTGTAAGAAAAGTATCCGGTTTTGATGCTGCCACTACATAAATCATAATTAGGTGGGACATCTGGCCCAGCCACTGGTGCAGAGAAACTTTTGGAGGCTAGACTGTGAGAAACCTCCCAGCCCTGCGTTCCTGCTGCCGGCCTAGAGCTGGCGCCTTAGTCGCACGTCTTTTAATCTTCATAGCCGCACTCCTAGGCCAAAACGGAGCACTGAGAGCCGGACTTGGTGGAACAGGACTCTGCCCCAGTCAGCTTGAAGCCTGCACCGTGAGTGCGCCTGCCGTACACGATCCAGGAGAAAGCTGCAGGGTGACACTGACCACTCGGGATTCATGGAAGAATCAAGTGCAGTTCTGGAAGAGCCTTGCCCAGTACCGGCTCCAAGGTGAGAAGCGAAGTAATTCTTTTTTTTTTTTTTTTTTTTACAACTTACACATACTTTATTTACTTGACTGAAAGCTTTATGGTACATAAAATGCTTTCTATAGTTGATCTCAGCTTTGTTCACACCTAAGTGAGTTGTGTCTGGGTTTTCTGTGCTCTAGACTGCTCAATTGCTGCTGCTGCCGCTGTTGGTTTGTTTTCTTTCAGGATCAAGATGGGTACTTTCATATAAAATCTTGTTTTTAATTCCTTCTCTGGCAAGTCTTTCCTGGATTCTTAGCTTTGCATAATTATACCTACAATGGAACCAGCATCCTAAAGTCACCAAGATAAATCCTCCTACTCGAACGTCACATGATCTTCTAATTCTACCTTCGCCTTCCCGGGCCCCCCGGGCTCCAGCGCAGCCGCCATGGGGACAGTCGGCACCTCCTACGAATTCTTAATTCACTTTCTTCCTCAGGACCCAGAACCCCTCTAGATTTTGGAAGGAAGAGGTGCTCGACTTAGCTCAGCAGCTGCCAGCAGATGCCAACAGAAGCCAGACCTGGGCTGTGAGAAAAGAGCAGATGCCCTAGAATGTTTTCTCACTGAGAAGTAATGAAAAGGTATTTGTGCAGGGAAGCATTTTTGATCGGTGCGATCATCTGTTTTTTCAAGCACAAAATCTAGCACTGTGGAACTATTTGACAGTTGTTAAAGATCAACAGTTGCAGAAACACACTAACCACTACACCAAGTTCCTCACTTGTGTGTAGAGCCCCATTGACCCACAGGGTGAACTTGGAGCTCTCACTATAATTCAAGTTTTGTTTTGTTTTTTTAATTGAAGCATAGTTGATTTACAATGTTGTGTTAAGTTCTGCTGTATCAAGGTTTATTTTAAATGTGATTTGCGAGACAATGATAGTCATTAAATCTATTAATCTCCCTTGAAACAAAATAGAGTCCAGTAATAAAAATGGGAGAAAAAACATCTCAATTTAAAAAAAAAAAAATACTGAGACTTCCCTGGAGGTCCAGTGGTTAGGATTTCGCCTTTCAATGCCGGGGGTGCAGGTTTGATCCCTGGTCAGGAACCTAAGATCCCACATGCCTTGAAGCCAAAAAAAAAAAAAAACATAAGACAGAAGCAGTATTTTAACAAATGCAATACAGACTTTAAAAATGGTCCACATCAAAAAAATTGAAAAAATAAATAAAACTTTAAAAAATAAAATAAATAAAAATTAAAAAGAAAATACTGAGTGGAAACTGAGTTGGTAGGTGAGCTATGTCCACTTTAGGATCAGTGTAGAGTGCCTTGTCTGGAAGGTCTGTTGGGAACCCAGATGTCACTATTTATAAGTCCTTTTTCTTATGCTAGTCAGATTTCTCAGGGAGAGTCTTTAAATCTCCCACCTGGATAGTGTCTGGTTGCCAGAATTTCAAAGCCAAGTGGAGCAAGAAAGCCAGGAGTCTCAGCATTCAGGACGCAGTCTGTATATGGGACCCTCTACAGGGTCCATATACACCACTGCAGGGGTGGTGGAGGGAAAGCAGTGGATGCACGTTCCAAACGACTGACTCAGCTGTGCAGGAGTCCTCCTCATTTTAGCCCCTCCTTCTCCCACCCCATAATCTTCGGTCCCAGAGGCACCTAGTGCTCCTAGTTCCTGAGTCTTTTGGGGATTCTTCAGTGTAGATAAAAGGTGGCCTTAGGGGGCTTCCCTGGTGGCGCAGTGGTTGAGGGTCCGCCTGCCGATGCAAGGGACGTGGGTTCGTGCCCCGGTCCGGGAGGATCCCACATGCCGCGGAGCGGCTGCACCCGTGAGCCGTGGCCGCTGGGCCTGCGCGTCCGGAGCCTGTGCTCCGCAACGGGAGAGGCCACGGCGGTGAAAGGCCCGTGTACCGCAAAAAAAAAAAAAAAAAGGTGGCCTTAGCATTCTCTGTTGCACTTTTAGGATTGGGCTTTCTTTGGTCAGTGAAATCAGTTACCTAGCTTCCAACACTGTTAACTCCTCTCATCTTCTCTTTCCTTGAGAGTTATGTCTTAATTTTTTTTCTTTACCGTAGTTTTTTAAATTAATTTTTATTGGAGTATAGTTGCTTTACAATGTTGTTAGTGTCTGCTGTACAGCAAGGTGAATCAGTTATACATATACATATATCTAATCTTTTTAGGTCACCACAGAGCAGAGTTCCCTGTGCTATACAGTAGGTTCTCATTAGTTATCTATTTTACATATAGTAGTGTATATATGTCAATCCCAATCTCCCAATTCATTCCACCCCTCCCTTCCCCCCTTGGTAACCATAAGTTTGTTTTCTACATCTGTGACTCTATTTCTGCTTTGCAAATAAGTTCATCTGCACCATTTTTCTAGATTCCGCATATAACTGGTACTATACGATATTTGTCTTTCTCTTTCTGACTTATTTCACTCGGTGTGACAATCTCTAGGTCCATCCATGTCACTGCAAATGGCATTATTTCATTCCTTTTAATGGCTGATAATATTCCATTGTATATATGTACCACATCTTCTTTATGCATTCTTCTGTCGATGGACATTTAGGTTGCTTCCACATCCTGACTATTGTAAGTAGGGCTGCAATGAACATCTGGGTGCATGCATCCTTTCGAATTATGGTTTTCTCCAGATATATGCAGAGTGGGATTGCTGGATCAGGTAGCTCTATTTTCAGTTTTTTAAGGAACCTCCATACTGTTCTCCATAGTAGCTGTACCAATTTACATTCCCACCAACAGTGTAGGAAGGTTCCCTTTTCCCCACACCCTCTCCAGCATTTATTGTTTCTAGATTTTTTAGTGATGGCCATTCTGACTGGTGTGAGATGATCTCTCATTGTAGTTTTGATCTGCATTTCTCTAATAATTAGTGATGTTGAGCATCGTTTCATGTGTTTTTTGGCCATCTGTACGTCTTCTTTGGAGAAATGTCTATTTAGATCTTCTGCCCATTTTTTGATTGTGTTGTTTTTTTGATATTGAGCTGCATGAGCTGTCTTTACCGTAGTTTTAATGGGTTTTGAAGGAGAGAAATTAGATGCATACATTCAATATGCCATGTTTAGACAGAACCTTAAATTGTGTTGTAAATGACACCTTTCTCCAAGTAGCTTCAGGTTTGATACATTTATGTGTTTTAACCAATTCTATCTCATGTCTTTCAGGTAGTAAAGGGGAGGCAGGATCTTTTCACTAGCTCAAGACATTCTTCACTAGCATGGAGAAGTCAGGATTGTAACCAGCATTTCATGACCCTTCAACCCCTTTTCAGATTCATTAACAACTCTCATGTTTAATAATGATAATTTTTTAATGTTTGCAAAATTTTTTGGAGTTTTTGTTTTATATTTATTTATTTATTTATTTTTGGCTGCACTGGGTCCTCGTTGCTGCGCGCGGGCTTTCTCTAGTTACAGTGAGCGGAGGCTACTATTTGTTGCCATGCATGGGCTTCTCATTGCGGTGGCTTCTCTTGTTGCGGAGCACGGGCTCTAGGCTCGCAGGCTCAGTAGTTGTGGCACACAGGCTTAGTTACTCCGCGGCATGTGGGATCTTCCTGGACCAAGGCTCAAACCCGTGTCCCCTGTATCGTCAGGCAGATTCTTAACCACTGCGCTACCAGGGAAGCCCTGAAAATGTTTATAGCAGCATTTTTAGTAACAGCCAAAAACTGGAAACAACACAAATGTCCATCCACAGGTAAATGAATAAACAAATTGTGGTATATTCATACAATTGAATACTGTTCCCCTATAAAAAAGAATGAACTATAGATACACCCAACATACACAAGTATCAAAATAATTACGCTGAGTGAAATAAGTCAGA